CTGCACGCGCATTGCCTCCCAGTAAATTTTTAGAGAGAAATTTCGCAATATAAAGTCGCCCACACATTCATTATTATGGCGCACTATTTTGCCTCAAAATTGAATCCAGTTGGCTTTGCAGAAATAATTATTGTAACGCGCCGTGCATTATTTAACCAAAATTTTAATTTTATGGTCCATACTGCCCATAATTTTAAAGGTAAATAAACTAAACTTTCTACCCGTAATACAAATAATTGCATAATTTTTTACTATTGTTTTAAATTGATCCAAATCGGTCGATTCTGATATACCCTTTATACCCTTTGGCTACAGGGTACAATTAGTGTGTGGTTTGGCAGCTATTCGTTAACCACGCGAAAAGTTTGTCTATCCATTTCTACATTAGAAACAACAATTGAACATTTTCAATGAAATTACGCTGTCGAATCATTGGAATTGTGGCAGAAATGTTTTGAGGGGAAAATACTACTCCATCGAAAACGCAGAAATTTGTGTGGCGAAAAGCGAACACTAGGGGTCGGGCTGTTGTTAAAAACTATGCTCATGCAAGTATTCCAACCACATCTGTTAACGACGAAAACATTGAAAAAGTGATGGATATTATGCTCGAAAATCGTTGTATTGGCATTGGAGAGATAGCAGGGCACTCAACACATTTTCGTTGATGTTTTGGGTGTTAATTTTTCCCCATAATAGTGCACCGTCACATTCCAGTCTGATTGCGACTCCTTTTTTTTTGCCAAAACACGAAACAAAAGTCATCGCTCAGCCAAAACACAATAGGCTCCCTGTTTCGAAAGCTCAAATATCCGCTCCGAGGCACTCAAAAGCCATTCGCAAAAGGAATTACAGGCCATAACAGCTGTGTGGGTAAATGGTTTAAACGTTGACACGCTTGTATGAGCTCAAAAGGAGCCATTCAAATTCTATTTTTCAACAAGTGCTGGTCGAATCTGATCAGATGCGACTGTTTTGGTTATATCGAAAAGCTTCGCAGGCAGTTCCACTTTTTCTGAAAACTCAATCCCTTCTTAAATATTTATCCCTTTCATTTAAATGTTCACTCCTGTATTTTTTTTGCCTGTACTTCCATGATAAAATTTATTTCATTGGAAGAAATTTTTTTTATTTATTTGAAATCAATGAAGACCACTTAGTATTGTTTTTATGATTTTAAGCAAATTTATTTTTTGTTGAATTCGCTTTAAACAGTGCACCTGAAAGCGAACGGAAACACAGAGCCCCAGCAGGTGAATTGCTTTATTTGATTCGTTTTGTCTTTGTGTTTTATTTATTGCTTGTACTTTAATTAAATTCCTTCAACTATTTTATTAAGTACTTATGAAATGCAAATGATTTCCAAATAATTTTCTTCGTTTCCGAATGCAAAAACTCAAATATTTAAGTTTGTTCTGCATCTGAATTAAATGTTTGTTTAATATTTACGTGTAGTAGCAAACGTTCAAGGCTCATAATATTTTATGTGTGCATAATGAGACAAATATCCTTTCCATTGAAACTTAATTTTGATATGATTTATTAATGGGAAATGCACACGATTTTGTGCTGCTGTTTGAAAGTGTTAATAAAGTGAATTTAAAATTGTTATTGATATACAAAATGCACATGTTGTTTACATAAGATCTGACAAATGTTATTAATCTGTTTGTATGAATTAAATACGTTATTTCATTTATAATTCATGCACAGCTTTAATCACCAGGAGTAGGATATCAAGAGTTGCGCCATTAAAAACTGAATTCGTTAAATTCAACCCTCAAGTGGGGCGAAAATGGGAGGCAAAGTTTGAGTCTATAAGTGGGTTCTTTGTTCTTCAATCGCATTTAGGAAAATACATTGCAAATTATCTGGCAATTATTATTATGCTATTTAGAAGTATATGCAAACTACTTTTCCTTTTGGACTGACTAATACCTTATCCCAGCTGGATCTAGTGGAAACGAATACTCCCATAGGGCTCTGTGTTAATATAAATATGTGTCCAATCAGTATTCTAAGTGAAATCTTTCAAATCAAACTATTCAGATACCTTTCAGGTGCATCGAGAAGGGAAATAAAATGGCAATTGCAGTTTACCAAAATACCCTTACATTTCCTAATTGAACCATTGAAGGTACTACCGAGTTTAATTTGGAGTTTGTTCTATAGTGTTAGTAAGCATTTCGAAGCGGTGTTTGGGCTGTCCCTGTTGCTGCGTTGTTAATCCTATTTAAGGGACAACACTGTCTTCCGGTTGAGTGACAATGCCTATGGCTTGGGCGGAAATAAGCTCTGTCAGATGGTAGCTTGTAGCGCACCTGTCTGATTGCCTGACGCCTTTAAATAGCTCTTCCTCTACCTGCACACAAGCACAAACACTCGACACAGATATTTGTAATTCGTTTCGAAAACACGCAAAAACGAAGTCTTTCATGCATAAATTTGATTTCACATGTGGAATAAGTAGAAAAGGAAAAGGGTTACGAAGAGTAACAACAATGGTAACAACATTTAGACAAGAAAAGACAGAAAAGACCGAAATAGCAGAACACCCACGGCAACTTTGCCATTACTAATGCTGAGGCTATGGTCCAAAGCTGAGCACATCCTTTTGAATGGCATACTTACGCGTATATGTATGTATGTATATCCTTCAGAGGCATTTTCACCCTCAACGCATCCCTCAGCGCATGATAACTTCCGCTTCGTCGCAGCTGGCAGCTTCTTTACTGCTCTTCTTTCATTTCTCCTCTTTTTCTCTGCTCCATTTTTTTACTTCATGTTGGTTTTAATTCAATTTAACAATTGTTTTTCCTTCCGCTTTTTTGTATTTTTTTTTTCTGCGCGTTGCATTTGCTGGCTGCTGCTTTCTGCTGCGCTGTGTGTTTTGCATTGTTTGTACCAGCACCGAACCGGAAGCTGCGCAGCATCAGCATCAGCAGCGGCAGCGGCAGCAACAACAAGAGCAACAGCAAGTCAGCCATTAGTGGAAATGAAATTGCATTTTGCCAACACACTCAACACTCAAAAGAAAATTTAATCAAAAGGCCAAGCGCACAGAAAACTATGCTCGGGCATATTTTGAATGTTTTATATTTTTTTATTTGCCTCCTTTTTAGCATTAAATCGACTGCAACGATTTTGCCGCTACATTTGCAGAAATAATGCAGCAAAATAATTGCTGTTAATATTTTATATTTCACAAATGTGCATTTGATGGGAAGAGCAAGCAAGCTGCAGGCCACTGCTAGGTTGAATGAACGCCGCAGTCCCCCCTCTCTCTCTCACTCTCTTCACTCTCTGACTTCCTGACCTGACTGACTTACTGACTGATGGAATGACTGCATGCATGCCTGACGTACTCGTATATTCGCATTGAACAAACTGAACTGAACTGAACTGAACTCAACTGAACTGAACAGCAACATCTAACAATCAAATAATGAAAAGTGGCAGCCAGGCCGACCGGACGGGACTGGAGCGGAGCGGGCCGGCCACCATCATCATGCCTGGCATAATTTTGTGTTGAGTAATTGAAAGCATTCATCATTTTGTGGGCTTCGACTATGCCATTAGTAGCACACAACAATGCTACACACACAACACACTTACATACTTGCTACACACTCCAACACACTTACACACTCAGCGCTGAGAACACGAGCGAATGATGAAGTATCCTCCTGACTGGACGCTCACTTAATAATCCCACAACTTGATTATTTTGGCTTAGAAATTATTTATTAACTTCTTGTCAAGCACAATTTCTGTATTTCTAGATTGCAACACAAGGTACAAATGTACTATACATATCAACTAATTAATTGCAAAGGTGAATATAAGGTTTAAATAAATACAAAATCAAAAGCATATTAATACATTTCACTTAGATGTATTATCTTTAATTAATTTTTAAATTGCTTTAAAGGAAAACCTTTAATTTTCTTCGAAATCAGAAATTAATTCTTTTTCAGAAGCCCACATGCAAATCATTTGCAAATGTGTAATATTTGACCAAAAAGGATACAAGACAAATATTATTTTTGAAGCTGAAAACTGCTCTTCAGTATTAAATTTCTTTTGATGCGTGCTAAAATCAAATAATGCTGTTTTTAAGCTGCTTTCAGACATTTGTAATTGTCTTCTCAAGACGATTCATAAACTCATTAGTTTTGTGCACAGAAGCAGCAGCAATAACTGCGAATTAGCGCACTTATCGACCATCAGGATAATTATTTATGAAGTAGCAATATTGCAAAAGCTCATTGAAGAAATTCGAGCACGACTGCTTGTGTAAGTTCGAGCACAGTTTATTTCCGATTTCAATTAATCACACACACACACATATATCTGCGTAACTTAATTAACAAATCACATATTGAAAAGAATATAAATAAAAATGAAGTTCGAATTAAACTCAAAAACATTACAACAGCAGAAAGCAAAAAAAAAGTGAATAAAGGACTCTTAAAATTGAAAATAATCTTAAATGAATAAAAAATTGAAAAATTCTAGACAATTGTGTTAATGTTGTAATTTTTATTCAAATACAAATTTCATTTAATTTTGAACTTACTCTTATAAACTCCATAATTACATTCTACTATCAAAATTATCTTATAAACAAATTTTAATAACTTTGCTTAAGCACGATTCGAACACTTTCTTAGACAAATGAGAAGCTTTATTTAACTGCATTTTGAACAATTTTTAATTAAACATTAAATCCCTTTAAAATGTTAATGTATAATACAAGAAAGTTCAGATGAAACTGCTTCTGAAAGAAATCAGTAACTTAATCGTAACTTGTTAGATAGCTCGATTAAACTAATAAATAAATGCAATCAAAAGTATTAAAGTGAAGTGAAACTAGCTTATAATTTCGCTAAATTTAACTTAATAATTTTAGTCTAATATTAAAAGGCACGTCTTAACTTAATTGAACATTTTGGAATTTGAAAGTTTTTAAAATATTGACTTCTTAGAAAACAATGTAATGTAGTGTAAAAGCAATTTATAATTTATTCTCTTGTTGGACACAAATACATTAAGTACAATACAAAACAGTATGGGTACATATATCTCTAACTAACACTCGCATCTCTCATATCATAACTTTGAATACAATTTGGCTTAATTGGCGACTTCTTCAGGGGAGTGCAGTAGATAGTAGATAGATGGATACATTCGAATAATTTGCTCTTACGAACTAATGTGAATACAAATATAAATGAAATGGAACAGCTCTAGGTCCAGGCGACGCGTTTCCGTGCGAATTTCGGTGGCACGGCATTGGTGGGGTTAACCACATTCATGGAGCGCGTCTTGTTGAGGCGAGTCGACTCCACGTCGATGCCGCCACGTACCGATGGCAAATTCTGCCAGCAATCTAGATTGAGATTGGAAAAGGAATTCGTTAGCTTGGGCGGCAGCTCTGCATTGGCAAGTTCGATGCAACTATTCGAGGGTTGTATGAGGAGCTCAGTTTCCGGTTCGACTGCAGTCTGTGGTATGCTCTCGCCACTGCTTGTGGCACGTGGTGAGGCGGCTGCCTCCTGAGTTAATTGCTCCAATTGCTTATTGGAATTCTCAATGCCGGTCAGATGTGTGCTGCGCAGCTCAATAATCTCCTGCTGTTGTGTCATATTCTCGGTGAGCAGAGCAGATAATGCATTGTTCTCGGCTTCGATTAGCTTCTTGATTTCACCATAGCGTTGCAAATTTTGTTCACGCCAGGTCTCCTCGCAACGCTGCAAGTTGTATTTGGCCTCCGACTCGTACATGGTGTCGATTTGAGCCGAGGCCGAGATTTCGGCGTCCTGCTGCGCCTTGTATTTGCCGATCAGCTGCTGGACGGCCTCGGGCTTGGTGGAATAATTTTTGACGCGCTGCAACAAATTAATGCAGAGGGCTATTTGTTTGCGATAAGTTTCTGAACGATTGCGCACAAATACTTTGATTTTCTTGAGATTGAAGGCCTGACCAAAGTCGGGACGCTGCAGGACGAGTGCGGTGCTCTGCTCAATCAGCTGCAGCTCCTTTTTGAGCTCCTCCAGGAATACGCGCAGGTGGCGCTCCTCCTCCTTGAGCTTGTCCGATTGCTCCTGACGACGCTTCAGCTCCGACATGTGCTTCTCCTGCAAGGCACGTATCTCCTTAATCTCCTGCTCGCGTATCAACTGCCGCTCCTTTTGCGCCAGCTCGGTGCGGCTTCTCTCCTGCTGCAGCTGCAACTGGCGCTCGGTGGCCAGAGCTTCTTCCTGTTCGCGTTGTTGCTGCTGCTCAATCTGTTTGTCCAGCCAGTTGAGTTTGGCCAACACCTGATTATCGGATTTGGACTGATACAATAGCTTGTCATCGTCCACGCCATGACGCCAGCGTCCATAGAGCTTAGCCTCCAATTCCAGCTTGCGCTTGAGCTGCTCGCGCTCCTTCAGCGACTGATTGACGCGCGTCAAGGTCTCCAAATTGTTTGTCTGGCGCGATCTGCCCTTCCGACCCATCTCGCAATCGTAGCAATCGTTCTCACTGTCCAGCATGGAGCGCAGCTTGCTGCGTCGCTCGGCGAGCTGACGCTGCTTCTCCTCCAGACTCTGCTTCTGCTGGATCTTCTTCTCAGCATTGTTGTAGTACTCCTTGTTGGTCCAGGAATCAAAGCGCGTCGTCACCTTGCCCCAGTGGTCGTAGTAGCGATTCCGCTCCTCCACCGCCTGCACCCGATTGTGCTCCAATTCGCGCCGCATGGCGTACTGAGCGTGTTGGTAGTTTAGGGGGACTGACATGATATGATTATGTTCGTGTCCTTCCTGCTTAGGCGAACAGCTGCAAGTAGTGGGAAGAAGAAGTTGTGGAAGAAGATTAAAGTGCCTGCTCAATAAATGACAAGTTCATAAACTTTTAAAGTGCCGCTGTCCGAGTGCCTCTAAGCATGCTGAGGCAAACTTCAATTTGTTGTTTGTGCTCTTCGTTTTTAGTTGGTTATTTCTTTCCTTTTTTCAGGTTTTTTTGCTCCTGTTCCTGCTGCTGTTACACTCAAAAAAAAAGAAGAAAAACGAACGTATTGGCGCTTAAAATACAACCAGCATCAAAGGCACTCGGAAAAAACAAGCATTTCCATTCTAAAACCAAGTATGTTTCAGGTGCAACATCTCAAGTTCAAATACTTTTTTCAGTGTGGAAATTAAACGGTCGTTTTGTTGAGTTCTTAAAACAAACTATAGATAACGTTTTTAACTCACTCTCTCTCTCTCTTTTTTTATGTGTTTTATGTTTGTCAATCACGCCAGTAGATTTTTTTTAATTTAGAAAAACCACATTCATTTGAATATTTATACTTTTCCAGAAATAATTATCTAAATTTCATTATCAATCACGCAAACCCGCACTTGGTTTATATTATTCCACTCTCACTCACACTACTGGAAATACCGACATTATTAAACAAAAGTCTAGAAAACTTGTGGATTTTTTTGTTTTGTTTGTGACGGTACTTTCGACAGGTGAGGCCATTATAGGACGCCTTATTATAGCATTTATTTAGGTTATATTCTGTCATTTAAAGAAAGGGCTTAACCCCAAATATAACCGAAAATATTGGAATATGTTCATTGAAAATACCAATCTTTTCCAATCCTGACACCCGATTAGTTTACAGGCTACATAATTTATTTAACGGCGAAAGATGTTTTCGATCCCAGTATTACGCACAATAATAAAACATTTTTCCACAATAAAGGATTTGGTTTGGTCTGGAATAGGTGTTTTCTCTGACTGTAAATTGTTCTTTAAATTTGAATAAATCGTTTTTAATAAAAGCCAACTTTACTGAAATGAAGAACGTCCTCAAGTAATTTTCTACAGTATGTTTTTTCTGAGTGCAAGTTGTTTCGCAGCAGGGGCTAGCGAGATAGGAACCAAACGCATCACCGCAGCTGTCACTAACTGCCGGGCCTGGCCGGGGAAGAGATGGAGAGCGAGAAGGAGAACGATGAGCACTCAGGACTAGAGACGAGAGCGAGCACTAAACACAAAAATATTGCAAAAATCTGTTGGGGCCCCCAAGTCGTAGTTAGAGCCGCCCCCCTGAGGCACCGAGAGAGGTCAGGCCAGACAGCGTGCGGCTGGCCAACAAATGGTGCCGGTTATCGGCAACGCATTTCATCATCCATCAACCCGGCCATTGCAATATGTCAGGCTGGGATGCAAATTGCGTGCGCCGTTGCGTGCATGGCAACAACAGCAACAACAGCAACAACAACAACAACAACAACAACAACAACAAGAACAGCAACAACATAGCTTTGCTAATTTTGTGCGCCGGCTGGCATCGTCGTCGTCGTCGTCCGCCACCGCCTGATGCCACTTTAGCAGATTTATGTAGCCGCTGGCAAGGCACGAACGCGCATTGATATATGCCAAATTGTTTCCAAATTGATTCCATTATTAATATTTGATAAAACATAAGCCTCTTTAGGCACTTTCAACGCCGCAACTCATTCAAAATTCAATGCATCCAAACGGCATACGAACGCCAACGAGAACGAAACCGCTGCCGATGTCGAGATACTGACAACAAGGATAACAAATACAAATACAAATACAACAGCAGCAGCACAGTACAGTACAACGCACGCCCGGTAGGATGTGTAAAATATTCAACAAAGTCCTCCTTATGTCATGTGACAACAAAACTTTGGTAATAAATCAACCAAACAGGCAGCGACAGCGCAAAAAGCGCACCCCATCAGAGAAATGCCAGGCGCCAGGATGTGTCTACAACAACATATAGAAGCGTCAACTGTGCAGGTCCTTTAGGAGTTGTTCACACAATGAAATTCAAGCAGAAGATCTACCTATTTTCAATTTGGTTGCGATTTTAGCCTTAGTTCTATAAATATTCATAAATTCGCTTCACCAAAAGAGCTATACTTGTAGAACTTTAAAACGATAAGAGAACAACTTTTGGACAAATACTACATATATAGTATATGTCTATGGCATTATAAAAGAATATCCTGAATCCAAAAGATTCAATTATCTAAAACTTTTGCAATACTTGATGTTGGCTTTCAAGACAGCAATCGATGTCCGAATATACCAATGATTTCAAGTAGCCCCTCAAAACGTAGTCTACGTCCACGTCAGATTACAAGGTACTCGTACTTTTGACGAATATCAATCACTGATTGCATATCTAATCAGGTTTTCGAGAAACGATTAGCTTTTTGAGTGCTAAATACTTCAAATTCAACGTAACAGTTGCAGCTGATTTGTCACTTTATTCACTTTATTCCAAACTGCAAGTTTTACTCGATAATACTCGATAATTCCTCGATTGTTATCGATCTTGCTAAAGCTCGATCGATTTCACTTAATCGTAAAAAGTGGCAATTAAGATATTAATATAGAACGCAACACGGCTCTATCTTATTTTCATTACAGACTTATTGTACATACATAGAAGGAATATTTCGTGTAGTACACTACATATTTTTTAGTTCATCAAGCATCATCTTCATCATTCATTCATCATTCACTGCAAATAATTTTGTGTATTTTTAAAAACTTACAATCTCTTCTCATTATATATACTTGTATTCCAATTAGGCCAATGATTATACGGATAGTGTTTACAGGAGTTGTTGTTGATTCGTACTGAACTACTTCGAGGGACGAACGAAATTTCTTCAGCAGTCATCGAAAGAATGACATTTCGAATAGTAGTAGTGGCTGTAGAAAGACTTGTCACATATTTCTGGCGTATACGCAAAAAATGTCTACAAGTATAATTCTTGAACATGTCGGAATTTGAATTGCGTTTTAGAATTATTTTAACAAATAATAAGTTATCAACCATTGAATAATAGAGAACTTTTATTTAGGTTGATCTCTCGGTTGAACTCGTATGCCCCAATCTATTTTTGATCAACAAAATGAAGTGATTAAACAGTTTAGTTCCAGTTGCTATCCACAGGTTTCAGTGTGTTCCGGGCTGGTTTCCGCTTGCTCGGGGAACCACCGCGCTGAGGTAGCACCTCGGCTGTGCACACGTGTGCGAATACATTTCAATCACCAGTAGGCATGCCAAGCAAGGCAAATTCCTCTTGACGTTGCTGCTGCTGCTGCCTTTGCCGCCCTAATAGACTTAATACACTTTCGTCACACACAAATTCACTTCCTTAATTGAAATTTTAATTTGAATACTTTGGCAAAGTTTTTCGCACCCGCATACACCCACTCTAGAAGCATTCACACACCCATAGGGGCCCATCCATCCACCCACTCACTCCCACTCACTCCCACACACTCCCACTCACTCAGTCGATTCAAGCCAACGGTTATGCTGAAGCGGTTCGCTTGGACGAATAGATGGGCAGGACGCGGCAGGGGGACGTCAGGATGTGGCAGCAATAAGCGTCGAAGCAAATAGCGACAAGCAAAAGTCGTTCCTGGCTGTTATTGTTGTTATTGTTGTTATTTTGTTATTATTGCTACCGTTGTACTCCCCCTCTCCGCAATACCGGCTTCAATCTTTCTCACCGCTTTTCAATTTGCGCTTCACGCAAGTCGTTTGTCATTTCATGCGCCCTAATATAGCGAGTATGTGTGTCTATCTATGTGCATATGTATGTGTGTATCTGTGTACTCCTCGTATATACCCGGTAACCGTAACTAATCCGACATAGCAATGATACCAAATACCAAATGCTACAAAGTGTCGCCTCACAAGCTCCATGCAAAATGGCGGAACGCTCATAGCAACAGCGACAGCTTCGGAAACAACATTTGACGACATGCTGCAATTGTTCGATGTGAAAAGTTTTGACAGACAATCAGACAAACAGACAGACCGACTGACAGATAAACAAGCTATCTGGCAAGCTAGCTGTGAGCGCCGAGAAAAGTTTTTCCGTAATGATGAACAGTTTGCGATTCAACTTCAGCTTCTCGGTAGCCCGGTGTTGTGGCATTAATTACAGAGACTGGTCCAGGCTTGTAACTTAACTTGCTTCATCAATTCGTTGTCGACATCGACTCACTTGCCCAAGATAGCCATCGGGCTATCGTGCCGCTTTTCGCTTTTCGCTTTTGCTTTTTGTTTTTTGCTCTCCACGCCTAACATCAAATAAAATAATTTGCAATTATTTATACTAATTGTGCCACTTGTCATTATCTAAAGCACGAACAGAACAACGAGCAGAACACATATCGGAGATAATGGTTACCCTTTGGTGAATACCCCAAAAACAATGTGATTTTTATGGCCTCCACTTGTAACTACAGCCCCTCCTCCCTCCTCCCTCCCCCCTCTCCTGACCCACTGCTGCTGCGTGCCGAAACACCGTTAACACCACACACTTAATACCCTGATAAGATTAGAGATTAACAAAAGGTAGAAAAAGAGAAAAAATTGAAAATAGAAATAAAAAATAAAAAGCAGCACAGGAATTAATCAAACTGACTAAAAAACATTAATGGCCCAACTGCTTGCTAGCTGCCAACTGCCTTCATTCACTTTGTTGTTAGCGGTTTTTCGGCGAGTGTGTGTACAAACTTGTTAGCGGCACGCAAAAATGGGTGAACGAGCTGGTTCTGGTGCTTGGGCTGGTGCTGGTGCTGGAGCTGGTGCTGGTAGCAGCGTAGGTGCAGCCGCACGGCAACAAACCAGCAACAATAATAGACAGCAGCAACAACAAAGACAGCTGGCTACAATTTGTGGTAAGTACCGCCAACTATTTGAACTATCTGTGTGTGTGTGTGTGTGTGTGTGCGTGTGCATGTGTGCGAGCAACCACAAAAATTTCCCCTTTTAAGTGTATTAACAAAAAATAACGCATTTTTGGGGTCTGGGCTTTGTTTACCTTTCTACACACATGCATACTACTCGTAATACATAGAGCAACTAAATGTGCCCGCAATGCGATTTATGCGACTACGGAGTACACTTTTAACAAGTTTCAAAGGCCGCAAATTATACGATTCCAAATCATTTCATATCAGCAGCAGTTTGCGAAAGTAAAATTAATAGCAGCCACGATAAAAAGCTTAGCTAAATTATACACACTGTGGCACTCGCAATGCCAGCATATTGTAAGCCACGAAATTTTACTTTATAACTCAATTTTCCCACATGTTACGATAAGCCCGACCGCCCGTACGGAAATGAGCGCAACAAGGCCTCCAACGGAAGTAAATGAAAAATTTATCAGCGTCAAAGTGCGTATGAGAAACAATAAATGCAATACTTAGCACATATAGTATGTACTTATATCGGATGAAGTTCCCCTTCACAACCACTTCTAGTTGCTGGGATCGTGTAGCACTTTCTAACTTTTTGTCATTGACAAACTCAAAATTTAGCTTGACAAGCAAACAAGTACCCGAATACCAATCAAAACCAACTTTTCCTGTAAATAGTATGTTGTATATAAATAGTTTACAAACATTCTTCAAATTATTGCGTATACGTGATGTCACAATTTGGTTTCTTTCGCAGCTCCGCTATGCGAACGTTAGAAATAATTAACAGAGACAAACTTTTTTAATCACCTCTGCTGGAAGGTGGTAGTTATTAATCGTTTGATGCTAAAATTAATGTCCAATTATAAAAGTTGACAAAGAATTCCATTTTAAGTAAATTTCAAGTACATTTCCACAAAATACTCATGCTCTCGGATTGTGGCAAGCAATTTGGAGAAAAAATAATGGAAACAAAAAATAGAAATACTATACTTGTATATTGAATTCAAAATGAACAATTAGGCCGTAATAATAAAGTTTAACATTCGGAACGGTTACGCATATACTTAGATTTCATGGCTAGCTTTTATTGAATGTCTAGTTCTTATTAAACTTATTAGAACGCCTTTTTTTGGTTATTACTTTTTTGTCATTGAAAGCTTTCAGACATTGGCACAACTTCAATTACAGACGTATCGAAGTGTGGGACTATCTAGCGCTGCTTAACAAAAGCTTTATACTTACACATTACAAATTATTTCTTAGATTTAAGCCCACATGACTAGCAAAGCATGTTTGTTTAGTTTTCTAAGCTATGTTTTTGTTTATTGTTAATCATTCGCAATTTTCAAGTGAGTCATCATCTCCCACCTAGTCATAATAAAGCAACTTATTTATTAATTTTTCATTATGATCAGCTGACTTATATTTCATTTAAGTTTAATGGATTTATTTAAAAGTCGACCTTTTTATTTCACCCCTGTCTGCCTTTATAGATATACTATTTATTGCTGTTACCCAAAATCAACAAATAGCTAATGTTCCCCTACTATTTAAAAGTTGTTTATGTACAGGGTGTATTAAAACTCGTTAACCAACGACTTCCTTTTAGACCGACGTGTGTGTGTTGTGTGCTTCCCCGAACTTAAGTAAACCTGTGTGCTTTGAACTTTAATGATGTCTGTCAGCAACAAAAGAAGAAAAGATGTATGCCGAAAATACACATACATATATTCATATACTGCTAATTTTTCTAAGAGGGCACCAATTTGTATAGATAATTAATTTAGCCACAATGTGCTTCCCCACAACACGGCAGGGGCATCCCCCCACCAAAGTGAATGCAAAGGAAAGAAAGCACTGCACTGTTTGCAGAATCAATCGAGGGGAAATGCATAAATATTTATTTATTCCCTTTAACTGCAAGCATTTACCCATTTTAATCATTTAGTGCCAGTCACGGTGCCATGCTCCGGGTCATGTCCGAAAAAGTACCTGACTTGGTTGTGGTTGTGCATATTGGAAAACAAGCAAAAAGTACCGGAGCTGCTCGAAAGAGGTCAGCGCATTAGTATTTGCATGTAATTCACATTGCTGACGAGCGCGGAATATGCTTAAAATTTCACTTTTCTGACCTTCCGATGACAGGCCACTGCCATTTACTCACATACCCATCCCCAATAACAAAATAACAGTACTCTTATCACTCTCAATAGGCACTCAGACTGGCTGCCTGTTTGCCTGGCTCGCTCTACCACAAACAGCTGATAACGAATTATCCAGTGTTGTCAAGCATTCAGCGCTGAAGAAAGCCAGATCAGTTAGAAAAAGCCAAATTATTATTTAAAGCAAGCAATATTCGGAATAAATAATCGTAAAAGGCTAGATGCATTTCAATAAATAAAGCAAAAGGGGAAATAAATATTTAAATGGCTAGAAAAAGCTGAATAAATTATTATTATTATTATTTAAAGCAAGTAAAAAGCAGATTAAATATCTGAATTTATAGCAGTAAGAGGGGAAAATAAATAATTATAAATATTTAAAAGGCTAGAAAAGCTAAATAAATAAATATATATGATTATTTTAACTTAATTCAAACAATAAGTACAGTAAAAGGGGAAATAAAAAATAATAAATATTTAAAAGGCTAGAAAAGCTAAAAGAACATTTTTTTAAAAAGCTTGTATAGAGCACAATTTTTTCCAATGCTACTACGTAAATAATAACTAAAAGTTAAACTAAATATTAAATATAAAGCTATCAAAAGATAATAATTTAGTTACAAGGCTCGTAAAAATTTTTAAAATAATAATAATGCCACACGAGTGTAAGTGAAAATTTTCAAAACTCAGCTAAATGGATTTTAAAAGTACAAATAAGCAGTAAATATAGCATGTAAATGGATCGAGCTAATAGAACTGCATTTTTTTAATGGCCTTCTGATAATAAAAGTTTGGCTACTCCTGAGCTGGCGGGGAAAATGGCTAAATTGGCAGCACTGAAATTATCGCAGTCTGGAGCGAAATGCTCGCTCGCTCAATCAGCAAAGAGCGGAAGCGAGCGCGAACGAGCCACGACGATGAGACGAACGAACGAACGATGAAGAGATGACGCTGACGATGACATCGACGATCGACACGATTCGCGAGCTTTAGCGCTGGAGGGCATTAAATTAAAGACCGTGCGATTTGTTTCAATTGGTTTTGCACTGCGTAGCGACGTCGTCGGCTTCGTTCGGTAGCGCTGATATTTCGTCTATAAACGTCGACACGACCCTTACGCTGCCAAACACTCGAGTAGCGTGCTTGGCAACGCGCACATGGACACGCACGAACGTGATCGGTAATACCACTCCAATTCGAAAACTATGTAAAACGAGTGCCTAATTGCAAATTGAAACTGAGACACTATATTCTTGCCAAACACACAGAGTTCCTAAAAATATTCAAAAATACAATTGCGAATTGTCGAGCGCGTATGTTCCTATAAATAAATTAAAAAGCTAAAACAGCAATATGACAGCACTGGGATTACTTTTGTTATCAATGATGGGTAAGTGTAGAGCAACAATAACAAGTCTTTCAATATTCTAACTAGACTGCCTGCCTGGCCTTATCGCCGCGCTGCTGCCCCTGAAAAGCGCTCCTCTTATCGCAACTTTTGGCCTAACGTTCGTACATTATTAACAATAATGTGCCGCATTGCATTACGTATACGACGATATCTGAATTTATGTATGTACTGTTATATGTATACGTACATATACTATATGTACTTGTATAGTAAGTGGATAAGTCCCATATGCTCATTTAAATGTAGCAAATGTTTCGGTTTTTTCCTCCTTTTGTTTTTATACAAAAATTAATTACTTGCATTTAACAAAATTGTCATTTATTGTCACAATTTACATTTTTTTATTGTCTTTCTGATTGTTTGCATTATGGTATGTAGTTTTTTGGTATTGCAAATTGAGCGTGACTTCATTTCGTGCGCTTGCCGCATTTTCATAATGTTTGTATAACAGCTATATTGTAGAGTGGTAATACTCGTAAAAAAAAAAATTAAACTCAATATTTTCCTGATTAAAAACAAACAATTAGGGCGCTCAAAGAGCGAGCGACGGCGCCTAATTATTTGTTGGCAAATTAAATACTTCAATTATGCGACATACTCGCGATAACACGTTGTCATATCTACCCCGAAGGATTAATGGCAATTATCAAAGGCGCCTGGCAACCGTCAACCACCAACTGCCAACCACCAACCACCCACTAGCCACCAACCGAGTGCTGGGAACCACACAAGCCAGGCACACACGTAGATAATTCAACGCATAACGTGAAATTAGTTTTCGGCAATTTTGCCATGAAATATTAGTGGGGCTTAGCACACAATCACACACACACACACTCGTATAGGACACACAGGTACTCGAAGGACTCACATCAGCGGCTTAGGCGCGTAATTAAATATGCGGGAGTAAACTATTTTTCAAACTTGGCAAGCGCATTGATTAGCCAAGTCAACAACGCAGCAGCATTAAGCCTAATGTTTACTTTATTACAACGCCACGTAATTGAAAGCTATTCAGTAAGGCAGCAGGCAGCAGGAGCCCCCTAAACGGCTCAACTGTAACTGTAATTAACATGTTATACTGAAAAGCGAGCATAAATTAAACAGCAGCAAATGATTTGGCACCTTCCGGCGCACCACCAACACCAACACCACCACCACCACCAGCACCACCACCAGCACCACCAACAACAACGACTGAAGTCGCATTGCTCTGTTTATTATTCAAGCACGCGCCGTCAATAGAAATGCTCGCCCTCCTCTATAGTTTCTGTGATTGCTCGTCGTTGTTGTTGGTTACTACACTCAGAAAAACGGCAAGCAACAGTTGACTGGTTGGTTAACGAATTAACGAATTTAAATTCTGCATAATTCGGTGTTTTACTGAAACCACTTGAGCCCCAATTTTGTCCCAACAATTAGGTAAACATTTAACAAACATTTGCGAATAAAAAACTTTCCAGAGAGGATGTTCATAAAATTGCATTTAATTGCAGATAATATTTCCAGTACTAAGTAGCATGTAAAAAATTATTTCAAATTAATTTAAAGAATAATTGTAACTGCCTGAGCTGCTCACCTTTGTTGTTTGCTAAGTAGTAGTCTGAAAAATTAAAACTCCTGGTTGTACGAGTATAAAGAAATTTTGGCTGAATTGAAAAAATCATTCGGTTTTAAGCTCGAGCTACGAAGTAGACCGTTTTAGAATACTAAAGTATCAACAAACAAGAATCACACCTCCCCTTAGCCACTAGTTTCTATTGAGACATATATGTACATATGTATAGTCCGATTTATACTTTTTAATCGAAAATGCAAATTAAACAAACCACAAACAAAGCAAATTATTAATACCCCTAAAAAGACACCAGTTCTGCTTCTATTATGTTTTGAAACATTTATTGGGGTTTGCCTTAAATGAAAGTATTAACTTCGCTTCTCAAAAGTTTTTCAGTTAAGAGCACGAAAATCAAAAACTACTCCTCACTTATTTAAGAAAACCTTTTGAATTAGTTACTTATTTAAGGCAAATATGTTAGCTTCAAAATATTAAGAATAGTTTTTTGTTAGCTCAAGTCGAATGAAAGTAAAATAAATTGCCACATTTTTCTCGTAGTGTAGGTAGGTAGGTGCAAATGTGGAGGCGCGAACAAAAATTTTATGCCTTGCAAATTTTAATTAGAAATGCTGCTATTAACTTAGTCAAGTGCGCTGCTCCTGTCCCCACACGTCCTGCCACATCCACACCCACTGCCATCTATGCTGCAGGACGCCCACACAACAAAAACAACAGCAGCGAGTTGTTGAAAGTTTGTGTATGCATATAAATGACGATGACTATGACTATGATGGCGATGGCTATGGCGATGAGGATGACGATGGCAGCTCGACAAACATTTTTAATGGAAGTTGCCAGCCAGCCAGCCAACATTTGTATGTGTGTGTGTGTGTTGGTGTGTGTTGGTGTGTGGTGTGTGTGGAGTGTGTGGAGTGTGTATGCGTTGTGGCACATAAAACAAATTTTCAAATGAAATAGTTTTTCAGAGCATTTGCATTTATGGTCCGCAGTTCAAGTGGCGTTGAGTTTTTCGGCGCAGATTCTGCGCGGCCGAAGGACGTGTTAGCCCACCAACCAACTCTTGAGTGCTTGCCTGGATTGCAAACGAGCCACAAAACAAGTGCCTGCGGCTAAATGTGGTTGCAGCCCCCACCCACCACAGCGAAATATTCAGCACCTGTTGCTATACGATGACCAAACTCTTTTCTCCAGGCGCCACACAGACACAAATCGCTTGAATATTCAAGTTGATTTTGAAATTTGTTGTTGAGTCATCGCGCCCTGAGCGTCAACGTCAGACAAAAAGATAGCTTTGTGCATAATTAATAACTATATTGTTGCAGCAACAACAAAAGAAATGAGAAGGCGACAAATTCATGGGTTACTTCCGACCAAATACTCATCAACTATGCAAAGAGAGGCGCGCATATCGATTTATTTTGATTGGAGAGAACTTGTTTTGAGCGCAAATTTGCAGAATTATGCAAGAAACAGAGAGAGATCTGGTGACGTTTTCCCCCCATCTCACTGTCTAGCCAGCAGTGTTGCCAATTTGGCGGCTTTTTACACTCGTTTGATTGTTGAGAGCGAAAACATTTCGGTAGATTTTTTTACAAAACGATCTTAAAGTATAAAAATTAGTGCTCTGTTTCTAGCTCTATCCGGCTTTTATTAGCAACTCCTTCTTGAACAGCTTGTGGCTATTTCTATCCAACTTGATGTCTATAATAAGATTCCAAATTTAAAATCAGCAGCTATCGTGTTTTACGACTGATGATGGCTGTGCAAAAGAATTACAAAGTGCCTTAGCCCCCCTAACCTTCTGATTCTTCTTCCATTCGCTTTTCTTTTTAGTCTTTCTCCACAATTGAGAGCTACAAGATCACTCCACTGAATAATATTGAATACACAATGAATAAATAGGTTTATCTAAAAAAGTTTCCGCTTACATAAACATCTTTTTTGCTTATAAACATACCAATCCAAAATATTAAATATCGTAACACTGGAGTGTATCTTTTTTTGATTCATTTATAGAAGTAGCTGACCCAATAAAACTAAATAACAATTTTCTTAGCCTTTTATAGCGCTTCTTACAATTGTCGATCTAGCCCCTTTTATCGACGCTCAAGACTCAACAACACTGTTAGCCATTATTGTTACGATCTTCGGGGGTTTTTCCTGTCTCTATACAATCGAATCAATTTGAATTGGCGCAGCTCATTTTGCTGTTACGCCTCAAAGTAATCACAGCTGTCCCTAAATAACAACAACACAACAAAGTACAAAAATAAACAGTTTAGTAGCGCACGTGGGGAATCCGGCAGCCAACCGTTCATTCATTTATCAGCCACAAAAGTGATGGCTATACGGCGAAAAAACAAGCTAACGGAATGTGACTACACAAATCAAACCAGGCCTTGATAGCAGCAAGTCAAACAACTAATGCAATTATTGTACAGTGTATGTGAGAAGTCTGTATTGAAGCAACAACAAAGACAGTGCGAAATTTTATACGATATTTGTTGTTGTTCTGTGTGTAAATAAGTTGCTAAACAGCCAAAATAAACAACAATTCAAATTCGATGACATTTCGTTCTTCCCCGCAGGCCAAAGCCAGAACATGTTGCCGATAAACGAGCCATCAGCAGCGGCGTCTGCCGTTCGCGACTCGGAGCTATTGTCTCGCGATGACTGGGGCGCTCGACCTCCCAAGGCAGTGGAGTACTTCAAGGGCCCCATACCGTTTGTAATTCTGCACCACTCCTATATACCGGCCGCTTGCTACACCAGCTCCGACTGCAAGAAGGCGATGCGCCAAATGCAAGACTTCCATATGCTCGATCGCGGCTGGAACGACATCGGCTATAGTTTCGGGATCGGCGGCGACGGCATGATCTATGCAGGACGTGGCTTCAATGTCGTTGGCGCCCACGCCCCGCACTACAATGACAAGAGTGTCGGCATTTGTCTCATCGGTGACTGGCAAAGTAAGTGTGCTTTAATTTTAATTTTAATTGGAATTCCACTCAATAATGCGGCATAATGTTTAATTTTTAGCTGAACTGCCGCCTCCCCAAATGCTGCAGGCCGCCAAGGACCTTATTGCTTTCGGTGTTGCCAAGGGTTACATTGCCCCCAACTTTCAGCTGTTGGGGCACAGGCAAGTGCGCGACACCGAGTGCCCGGGCGGTCGTCTATTTCAAGAAATTTCCACTTGGCCGCACTTCACGCTGCTCAACACCACAACGGACACACAGCCACCGCACAAGCCATAAGAATGCCCACCAACTACACATATAAACCCATATTAATTTAAATGCGTACTTAATTAAGCCGCTTGCTTAACTAAAACACATCCACATCATAACTGCATTTCACATAAATGATTGAATGTGGTTTAAGAAGCTGAGCAACAACCTTCTAACTATGCGTCTACATATTGTAGGCCCATATACTATATACTATAGACACAGCTCTAAGTTTAAAAGCGTAAGCCGATATGCTATAATTCATATAGTTTAACAAGCAAATACATTTCTAGTTAAATAGAAAACTTCTTCACTTAAACATGTTAACAAGAAACTATCCTAGTACAAACTATAAGTACATATACTCAAAAGTGCATAATACGATAACAGCAGAGCCGTAAGTTCAAAATTGAAAGTCTTAAGAAATCAATACTATACAAATGCAAATCATTTGTCACTCAAGAAAACACAATAAAATTTTGCTTTCCTTCCTCCCCAAAACATAGTTCATACAACAACAAAACAATTTGTTTGCATTATTTCTTAGATGTTGGAGCAGGAAAAATTTACTCACGGGCTTCAATTAGGTCGCTCTATTATATCGGTAAAAAGTAACGCCAAATTAATTCTATAACGATTTGAATCAGATTGGTTCTTGCATTGTGTGGCATTTAATACTGAATTGTATTTATCTTACAATACGAATCAATACAAATATCGATGACGAACGTATAGCCACAAACATGAAAGAATGTGAAAACATTCGTCTTAGCATACCTTTAGGCTGCTTTAAAATTTTATCTCTTTCTCTCTCTCTTCAGTCCACGATTTTGCAATACGAGTATATAGCAGAGGGGAGAGGATTTAGCGATTTCGAGCAATATCCAAACAAGTGCTCGTGCTGCTATACATACATGTATTATTGAATAAATAAATAAACCACGTATGCATGGGCAGCACACACATTGCATGTATATTTTTCCCAATATATATAATCGGAAGGTACTAAACCTTCGATGCCTTAAATAAACAAATAATATGCAAAAGCAATACATGTATATTAAATGTCTCTTCGATAGTTTTGGGCTTACTGCCTTCACAAAACCATGAAAAATGTATTCACCTGATGAGCAAATTCCTGTAACAGAGCGAGAAAGCAATCAATACGATATTGAAACTGAATGAAACATAAATAAATGACAAGCAAAGGCAAGCAAAATATTTGTCCATCTGACAAAATCTGTTACATGAAGAGCAGCAATTCAATAATTTGATTGCTTAGTAGGAAAGTTTTTATTTTATTTGTGCGATAGACAGACATGGAAAAAGATAGACATCAAATTAATTGGTATACACATACACTCAGAAAAACGACTGAATCGTTGCCAAAATGTAGGTAATTCAGCTGAGAGGACAAATTATCAAAAAATAAACCATACTGAACTGATAAGTAGTCGATAAGTTTTGCTAAAAACAATTTAAGAAACGTTTTGCGTTTGTTCCACTATTGCTTTATAATTTCCAAGTGGATTTCTATGAATAGAAATTTGTAAAAGTTCACCAAAGCATAAACAAACAATTAATGGAATATAAATAGTTATTCATGATTGATACAATTTGATCAAGATATGTATTTATATGAAATGTTTTAACGCACAGATCTTAAGACGAAGAATATACCATATAGTATGTATGCTTTATGAGGTAGAAGCTGCTTCCTTCTTCGTAATATATTGGATACAAAGCGCTTCAAAACTATAGTTATCTAACGATTTAAAGGTATCAGTAAGTTCGTCCTTGATTGCTGTTTCTTTAGGAAGATGCCTTCTTTGGTGCCCATTGCAGTCCATTCTTTTGACTGTTCCTTCGTTTCAGTTCATTCATTGCTACGAATCGACGCAAAAACTGGACTTTATTGTTGTTAAACAAAGCCAAGCCCTTGATTGAAACCTTCTCCAAAGCAGGGTATTTCTATTATCAGCTCGTACGGGCTAAACAAAATGTCTGCAAATATGCGATGTAGAGCACTTTTTGAAATCAGAGTAGAATCTAGCTGGCTTAAGACCTTTCAAATGAAAGAAAGCATTGTATTTAAAGCCGATACGCTATTGTTGCCATGCTTACAAATTCACTGAGAGGGTCCACTAGTAAAACCTGCTAAATAATTCTTAAGTAATGTTGAGTCCCCAAAAATGTCAGTTAAGTTTTCTAAAAAGATGGGGACTGCATATTATAATTTTTTGTCGGACAACATTTGCGATCTATAGTACTGGTAGTGTATTTCTATGACTAGATTTAAAACCATCAATTAAGAGCTGATATTTGAATAAATATCCCGTTTTCATCAATGTTCGCTCATTTTTAGGTCATTTTTGTTTAAGTGTAAGCCCTGTTTGAAACTGTCAAAGATTTTTGCCCAATTTATTTTTTATTAGCCAAAGAGGTCAAACGAAAAAGATGTCTTCACAATATATTTTGGTTTATTTTCAATTTAAATGCCTTGCGATGCGTTCTATGTACTGGTTCACTAAGGCAGTGTAATCTCTATAATTAAACGAAGAATAAATCGTCTAATCGATATGCAATTAGTCGGGCTATAAAAATACTACGCATGCAGCACAAATAGCCGTCCCGCAGTCAGTCGGCAAATGTCAATTTTCAGCCAAGAGCTGGGCGAGCTAACTAAGTTGAACTGCAAAGTAAATATGTTACAAATTGAAATCTGCTAAAGAATCATCTTAAATACAGCCACAACAACCACAACAACAGCACACACTTGCTCTAATGGGTTTGGATTTTCTGGACGAGTGGTTTTTATCACAGGGTAAGCGCAGCCGCAAAGTGCCATTAACCAGAAAAAAAAACTGGCCTCAAATTAAATCGCAAGTCCACAATCACTTGCGTAATTAAAGCAAATTTTAGTTGTTGTATACATGCGAATTATAAACAATAAATAAAACTAATTGACCACCAGCTTAAGGCATTTTGCCGTTGCGAGGGCAAAGAGCCAACATTTGTCCTTCGACCAGAGAGCCCAAATATTTAATTATGTTAATAATAATTCCAGTTCCATTGAACTGTGTCCCCGCTAGCTGGCTGGCTGCACCTGCCATCGGATTGTGGAAACCAAAGACGCTAAAAATATTTGTTTCGGCCAAAATGTTGACCAACACAGAGAGCCAGCCAGAGAGCGAGTGCGAGAGTGAAGGCGAACATTTTATGAATATTCAGGCACTGGCCGACTGTTTTAAAAATATATACGAATTTAGTTTTTGAAAGGCCGTCATACGCGAAACGTGCTGAAGACAGCCAAAATTTCTCGCGTCCTGTGTGCGTGTGTGTGTGTAAATCTATCTGTCTCAGTGCATCTGTCTGTGTGTGTGCGAGTGTGTGTGTGTGGGCGGACATCCGAAATTAAAAAGTTTTCTGCCAAACGAATTATAAAATTTGTCCATAAGCGGTGGAACGTGCGGTGCGCGCCCGCAAAAACTGCATAAAATCCAATGAATAATACAACAACAACAACAACAAAACAGTTCACTAACACGGAAAAACAGTTGCTCCTAGCTAGTTGAAGAGGAAGAATTTGCAACGCAGTGGCATTCGCAAAAGTTTTTTATAAACAATTTCAAAGCTAATTTGTCTGCTGCAGATATCTCTCCAAAAATTTCACCCACATGCATAAAATGTTTAATTGCAATGCGTTTCACAGAATTGCCAACCAACCAGCCAGTCAGCCAGTCAGCCAGCCAGCCAGCTTTTCTTATACAGACGACACATATTTGTGCATATATAGATATATATTTTTATGTATCTATCTTGCCTATGACGGCATATTTATAAGTATAATTTTTTATTTGCATGTCATGTTTAATTAACGCCTCCATACAATTTTTACACAATTTTCCTCAGTTTTTTTTTTTTTTTTGGCAAACTGCAAAGTCCGCACGAAATGGAAAAGCCATGGAATGAAACAAAATTTTTATTCAATTTTTTTTTTTTTTGTATACACTTTGTGAAACGATGATGTTCTGTAGAAAGAAAGCAAAAAAAAAAAATGAAATAACAACAACAAGCAAGCAAAGCAGCAAACGAAAGGCGCAGAGATTTTTGTCGGCTCTCCACCGACTATGATGGCTGGCTGGCTGTGGATGCTCTTTGTGTGTGCCACTCAGTGTAGTGTGTGCGGCACAAAGAACCTAAAATTAAATATTTTCGCCTTTTACATATCAAGCAGTGGTAGTGGTGGTGGCGGCACACAAAGTGTTTGTTGTTTTGTGTGCTGCATACGTGCTGTCTGTATGTATCTCTCAGATACACTCACACACACACACACACACACACACAGATATGTACACACTAGGTGGTATATACATACATGTGTGTGGATAGATAGATAGAAATTCCAGCTAGCTGGTGGCATTTGAGGCCATTCATTGAAAAATTGCTGGCCAGTATTTGCCAACTGGCAAAGCTACAGAACGTCTGTCCACAGCCTCTTCTTATTTGCAGTAAGAGGCGCAAAAATAATAAAATCGAATAAAATAACAATGATAGCAACAAAATAGCAACAGAAAACAAAAAGCTAATGAGCGCAAGCATTTATAAATAACACACTAAATGAAACATAGTCGCCAAATATATCCGAATTGAAAATATAGTATGTGTGTGTATAATTTTTAAACAGCTGTTGCTCATCGTTGTCGGCCGAGCATTTTAAATAAATAGCACAACAATTTCTGAAACGAATACAAAATAAAATAAAAAACCAGTATAAAAATATACACAAACGACACTCAGAAGAACGAGCGCCAACAAGAAGTACTTTTGGAAAAGTGCGAGTGCGCTAATGTGCAAAGTTTTGTGCTTTTTTTCATCAAAATTCGCGCAGCGCTGCACAAAACATAGAAAATTATTTAAAAAGTGTGTGTAAATAGAAAAAACACGCGACGAGATTTCGCCCCTCCGGAGAATTAACAGTTGAGAGCAGTTAACGGCAACAACAACAACAACAGTAGCAACAAAAATGCCCTTTGTGACGCCTCGAAGCGCGACAAGTACCGGCAACAGTGCGGGGAGTGGTGCTGCTGGCGGACGCACCACATTTCGCCCACCCTGGGTGAAGGAGGATGCTACAACAACAACAACAACTGCTGCTGCCAAACCTTGGGCCAAAAAGGCAACTGCAAGTGCAGTGCAGAAGGAAAATGGTGAAAAGCCCGCAGCCACCACAACCAACAGCACAACAACGGCTGCGAGCAAAACTAAAGCAGGCAGCAACAGCAGCAGCACCACCTCCCCCAGCAGCACCACCACAGCAAAGACAGCCGCCGCCAAAACGACTGAGCCGGTGAAGAAAGTGTTGGAGCCCATCAAGAAAACCACCACAGCGGCGGGCGCGGCAAAGAAGCCCTCGGAGCCGCTTAAAAAGGCGCCAGAAGTGGCGGCTAAAAAAGTGGCGCCCAATAGCAGCTCAGCAGTGGCAACAAAAAAGCCCACCACTGTGGCGGCCAGTAAGAAGAAGGCGCCCACACCGCCGCCCGAATCATCGTCCGAAGAAGAAGAGGAAACCGATGAGGAAGAGGAGGAGACCGAAGAAGAAGTAACCGAGGAGGAAACCGAAACAGAGGAGGAAAGCGAAGAGGAGGAGGAGGAGAGCAGCGATGACGATGACGATAACGATAGCAGCGCCACGAAAAAGAATGTGCCCGAGCATGTGAAGAAGGCCGCCCAACTGCGTCCCACAACGGTCAACAAGCGTGCGGAGGAGCAGGAAAGTGAGTTGAAACAGCGTTTCACAATAGAAAAGCCAAAATTGCGCGCGGTGACGGTCAAGCGCGATAAATCGATGAAAAAGGTGATCGATGACGATGACGAGGCCGAAGAGGGTGAGACAGAGGAGGAGCGGGAACGTAGGCTGCGTTTTAAGCTTGAGAAACCGCAATTACGGCATGTTAAACGTGAGGAGAAACCCTTGCCTAGCAAGAGTACCGATAATTTACTGAAACTGAGACCCGCACTCAAAAAGGTGCCCAAAATTGATGAAATACTCAAAGAACCCAAAGAAGAACCCAAGCCCGAATTCAAGACCAAAACTTTGCGCAAGGCACCCTCTATAAAGCGAGAGCCGAGCATTAAAAATGGTAAGTCAGTCCGGTTCGTTCGCTCTCTCTTAATACCCCTAACATACCTGCCTGCCTGTGAGTTCTTAAGGGGTTCCAAGTCGCTGCTGTCGCTGCTGCTGCTCTGGCACCCAATTAACCCCGATCTAATGGACGCTGCTAAGTACTGCCCGATACAAAAATAAGAGCTGTATATATATGCGCTTTTCTAATATTTGCCAAGCATTACCTATTTTATAAATGATGATGATGCTTGCTGATCGTGAAATGTCTCCAAGTGGTGAGTGATTTTGAATGCAACACGCATTATATGCAACGAACAGATGTGCCCACACATCTCAGGGTGATGGTCACACGATGCGTCCGCTCTCGCGCATGAGCTGGCAATGGGTTGGAAAAATTCTGGCAAAAGGCAAGGCCGATACACGTCACAATAAATACAGCGCGTCAACAGAGCGTATGAGTGATATGTATTTGGTGCTGCGCACAAATCACAAAATGCGATTCAAAGCCAGTGATTTATGACATATTTTTATACCTTTTGCAAAAAATGTCTAAAAATTGTATATTAATGGGCGTGTTTAGATAAATAAAAAAGGTGTTGAGAATGTGGGTCGAGGTAATTAGAGGGTGAGAGGTTCATTAGTTTAGAGACCAAAGAGCCCCTCTTAAAGATGTTGGGAAGTGTTTTACGCTAGAACTGGAATAAAGGTCCTCCTACTTACATAATTTATTTTATTATTTTATACAGTAGTTCCAAGAACAGTCGTTGCACTAATAATTAAAGTTCAAAAAGTTAGAATTTCTTCTGTAATTATATATTGCAATGGTTTATTATCAATAATATTAGTAACGAATTACTGGGGTCAGGTCCAAAAACAAGTCCAAGCACCAAAGTAAGCCTCAGATGGTGAGCATCTTGAGATCCAAATAAAGTGTTGACAAATTATTTATTTATTCTTTTTCGAGAATGCAATAAAATCAAAACTTATTAACTGCTTCATAATTAGGGACTACACGAAAGATTGATGAACTGCTAAATGTGGAACACTAATTACAAACTCTTGTGCACGCGAAATATTCCGCAAAAAAGTGTTGCTTTATGATTAATTGGGCCAGCAGCGTTTCGTTTTGTTTCGTTTGTAAAGGGTTTCTGGCGAAAATGTTTTCACTTGTGTAAAAAATGTTGCCAACAACAACAACAATGTAGCCAAGTTATAACAATGTTTAAGCCAAGTTAAAGCCAAGTTATAAACAAGTTCTTGGAATTTTTTACTCAAATTTGTAATTTACAAAATTTTATTAAACAAATTTTTTCAATTATTTTCTTGTTAAAGAAATCCAACACATGCAAGTCGATATTAATTAGTTAGCTAGAATGTTTTAAATGCCTGAGATGTGTTTATATTGGGAATATCATAACGAATAGCAACCTGGTAATATAATCGATATGAACTTAAGGCTTTCGTATTAAAATCGTATGTGCATGGTTTATAAGGTTTAAATATTATATTAAATCGATTTGTGGCTTGAATACCAATACTATCAACAATCAAATAGCTAGAAAATTGCAAATTGTTAACTAAAGTGTGTTTTTTTTAAATTAATGTGATTCGTCATTTTAAATCACAATTTTTTGCATCACAAGTGAGTGCGTTTCATGCACATGTATAATATACTACATGCATATAGCTACTGCTATGTATATGCATATACTATATACTATATGTTATATATGTATGTAAATACATATATTTATATGTCGATGCGCGTTCGTCCACCTGTGTGGCAGATACTCAAAAATGAAAGGCGCACAACGAACAAACGAATCATCAACAAAATTGTACAAACAAAAGCAACAAAGCTGGGAAAAGAGCAACAACAACATAATCAACAGTGAGATGAAAAGCAGCAGCGCCAGAATGACAACAACAACAATAATAATAGCAGCAACAACAACAAGGCCATAAAGGAATATAAATACAATTTTTTATTTATTAAACTTTAGTGAGTGTTGTGCGTTGGTTGGTTGGGCAAAGCCTCAAAGTTCTTTTGCCAAATATTAAAACGTAATTTTCTAATGGACTTTAGGGCCGCAAGCAGCGAAAATTTAGCACAATCATAATTTTAATCATAGTGAGTAACTTAAGTATATGTTTTGAACTATTCGATTGTTTTTTGTTTGCTGTTTGCCGTTTGCTGTTTGTGGTTTGTTGTCATCGCTGGTGATGTTATTGTATTATGTTATTAAATTGAATTGCCAGCCAAAGGACAATTCGGAAGCAGTTATGGAAGCAAGAATGGCCGAAGGTGCGACACCTGAGGGCACAACCTTCCTTTCTCGTCAAAACTGGGTGGAAGTCAGTGAAAATGAAGTGAAAAGCTCGTTAACCCAAGTCATTGTCTTTGTGCGTGAAAAGGTACGCTGTGCGAAATAAAGTTTAAAAACGAAAAAAAGCTACGTGTGAGACAGTTGCGTTTCCCGCCACTGCCACAGTGCGAGTGTCCTAATCAGTGGGCAATAACGTGACCGCAAATGTGTCCTAATCTCGCCTCGCCCCCAAGCCGCGCCCTCAAACAAATAAACCAGACAAAAACGAAAAGGGACTGGCCCAGTAGTACACAAAATGAAAGCCGCAGACTGTTTCAACTGCTGGCAACAGCAGGTTTCTCTCTTCCAATTTTTTTTTATTTTATACTATAGTATATTTGTGTTGTCCTTAAAGCTGCGACACAGAACAACAAAAAAAGGGACACAATGAAGAAAGTCAAGGGGAAACAGGCATGGCAAAGAAAAACATTTATTTAATGTGCTCGGACGACGGCGACATCGAGGACGTCTTCTCTGTTCTCTCTTCTTTTTATAGTCTAGGAAAATTCATGATTATTGCTCATTGTGTCAAAACTACAACATAAAATGGAATGTTTTAAACTGAGGTCCTTTTGATGACGCGCACACAGCGGCCGCACTGGCGAGGCGGAGGGAGCAAGGGTGGAAGGTCGGAAGGGAGGGAGAGGGTGCGCTTTTAAAGCACAAAACCAAACCAAAGCAAAGCAAAGCAAACCGAAACCAAAACCAAACCCAAAACCAAAGCGCAAGGAACTATCAATAAAAAATCGCACTGTAAGGACAAAGCTGCCAATGTGGCAATGTGCTTGATATAGTCTAACTAAATGCGCCATTTATATTCAAATATCCGCACTAAAAAACAAAACGAAATAAAAGGAACCAAAGCCGACTCAAGTGAGCCAAGCGGTCGCATCAAACCAGGGCGCAAAAAAAGCACGAAGAATGAAAAGATTGCGAGAAGAAAAGACAGGCTGGACAAGGACGGGGAATTGGGAGTTGCAAGCGTGGGTGGGGGTGGGGGTGGGAGAGGATGAGCGGTTGGAGGCACACAAAAGCAAGACAAAATATTTTCTTTTATTTAAATGAGCCTCGTATATTTATATGCATGTATATGAGCGGAGAGAGACTTCAAGTTGTAACTGTGTTGGCCGGCCGGCCAGGCATTTGGGTCAAGCACGGCCTGCTGTCCTGTACCCTGCTGCCCGCAGCCTTCCCGCTGCCTGCCCCTCGACCCATCTTCCTCCTATCGCTAGCGCGTGTCATTAAAAATGTTGTCATTCAATAGGTTCGAAGCAGCAAAAACAAAAATGTGCCAACTGCCGCGTTTATACGTTTACCTGAAACCTTTTCATGCCGAGTTATTTTTCTATTTAGCCGAATTTTTTGGCCAAACTGTGTGGCCGATATTGATATTGATATTTCGCATAATTGACAGAGAATATTGGTTGATATTTTTGGCTGGTTGCGGGTTGATTGGTAAATAGAAAAACAAAATAATGCAATAACCATGTGACTCGGCTACCTTTTCATATTCCATATATTCGGGAGGATTTATGAAACATTTACTAATGTTTAATATAAACACAAATATAAATAAATACTCGTATAGCAAAGACGAAAAACAATCTAAAACAAAGAATCTTTTTCGACAGATATTCAAGTGTTTTGTTTGTACATCTAAAAATGCCATCAAACTTTAGCAGCAGTTATTCAATTATTCGTAAAGTTTTTGTTCACAAATATTTATAAATTTTATAAAAATTTAACTGCAACAAAACTGTTTGGTCTTCTGCGGATGCTTTTATACTTATAATATTTCGTAAATAATCGTGCAGAATAAATATTAGAGGTTTAAGTCAGCCTTGGTTTTAGATGAAGTCTTTGCTTCTATTAACAATAATTTTTAAATAAAGGAAAATTATAATTAACAGAAATATTCCTATACTATAACCATTACATGTTGAGTTGACTTTTTATCAATAACAATATCAGATTCGCTTTAGGATTAAATTTTGTATAAACTGCCACTTAGAAAAATTCTTAAGCAAACAAATGGAAATACTACAAGTAGTTCAAAATATAATTATTACTATAATGAAGCTGGAAGCCCATAAAATTTCAACATGATTCGATTAGAGAAGCCAACTTAGTATTTCACATGGTTAATAAATTATTATTAAATTAAATAATTCCAATTTTCCAAAATCCAACACACAATATTTATTCACAAACCGTTTTAATATGCTTCTATTGCTATCAATTTTAAATATAATAATATTGACTTTTTAAAAAAAAAATGTTATTATATTCAATTCTTTGATCATTTCTGAGGTTGTTTTAAAAAAAATGGAAATTCACGAATTCTTTGAAAATGTTGGCATAAACGGACGGCACCCTGAAGTGCGCTCAAGCATAAAAGATGATTAGGCAGTTTCAAATTTAGAAAGCGACAAAATGGCGTAAAAGGAAATGGTCAATAATTATATTTCTATCGCAAATTGCTGAAGGCAAATGGCCAGGAAATAGTTATTTAGACATAAACAGGCACTAATCATGCATTCACGACCTCGCCATCCTTAGCTGAGGCTCTGACTAGCTCCACAAATCATATCTAATTGTTTGTGGGGGGTTGAGTTGAGTTCCGGTCGGGAACTTGAATGTTGGCTTGGGT